GCCGCAGCCTTGAGAGCCTCCTCAGATTCTCCCTCCAGCTACCACCCGCATGAGGTCAACACATATGCTCCACCAACCAATACAATGGCAGATATAGCCAATAGGCAGTTATAAGATAATATTAATAATTCGCCATCAGAAAGGGTTTGTGTCACTGACGTTGAGTATATGCATTTTTCGATCATGTTTGTCTCACCCACCAACAAGTTGCCTTCAATCTCTCAAAGGTGGGAACTTTATAGAGATAGATATATTATTAAGTTGTTATATAAAACATCATGGAGGGCAGACAGTCTGCAGCCCCGCAATGAAGGGACCCGACTTGGGCAAAGCTACTTAGGTTGTGAGTCAAACCAAGACGCAGAGAGCGCCATTGAGAATAGCGACCCGCCAAACAACCATCGTAGAGACGCAATGCTACAGAATGCAACAAGCATCAATACGACTATCGTCGGGCTTACACCATCCCAAGGTCCCCCATACAGTCCCAGCAGACATCACCACCCGCATACCTCCATCGACCAGAACCACAAGATGCATCGAATCAGGTGGAGCACACCCGCAGATCCATCACAAGACACAATACTGCAAGTAGCAGTAAGCATCAATGCAACTATCATACGGATGGCGCCCCCTCACAACACACCCACATGATCCCTATCGACTTTGGTAACAAAATTTGATAATGTTGTTAACTAAAAATACAACCAACGTATCGTAGTAGTACGGTACTAAGACGTCAGTAGTCAAAACTCCACGTATCATAGCGCTATTGCACTAAGACATGAAGTTGAGTATGCTTGCTGCACTTAAAAGTACTACCAAACACACTCACCCTAATCCGAAAGATAGCCGATGTATCATAACGCTATGCGCTAAGACGCCGCCCACAACCGGTAGGGGTGTGCGATGTCCACGGGCAAGTCGTATTGCTACAACAAACCCGCTTACCACCGGCACTAAGATGATATGTCTAGGACACATCGGTTAGTGAGTCCAAGTTTACCTCGGTCTCAGAGGCTGCGAAGCAACCTACACGCCACTATAATAATCCTTTTTAAGTCCCATTTCTTTCAATATAATGCTTTTACATATTTGAGACCTTCCACATATTTGCTTTATTTCATAGACCATACTACTGTATCTCTTATTCATATGGGACTTCAAGTCATAACTCTGCTATCATAATGCTTATGCATCATAGAAACCTTCTATATTAATGCTTTGGTTCGTCAGACCTTACTATGTTAAGTCCCTAATATAGGACTAGTCATTGTGCAACCTTAGTACTAGCAGTCGGTCAGCCGACCACCCCATATATATGTACAACCTTGGGTATGTGTCTCCGACAACGCCCCAATATAAGGGAACATTACAAGAACACGTTCATTAACTTAGAAATTTTCCAATTATTACACGAACACCTTCATCAACTTAAAAAATTTTAATCCATTTTTTCTATTACATTACAAATGTTATTTATCTTTGTTATTGCAATATAATCGCCTTGTATTTATATGATTTGATATATTTTGAACATTTTAAGCAGGTTTTTAATAAATTTAGAGATTTTTTGAGACATTTTATGCGTTTACTAATATATATAATATTCAATATTCCAAATGGATATTTTTCAACTCTATGCTTATTATTTGCATTTTATTGTTTAAATTATAATTTCTATGACATTTTTAAATGTCTGTATAATGAATTTAATTATTATTTATTAATAATAATTATGAGGCGTCACAATATGCAGAAGAAACAGCGTTGGTGATAGCACGCAGCCTTGTGGAACACCAGCGTTAATAGGCTTGTAGTCGGAGCGTGCACCGTCTACAACGACCTTGATGCTCCGATCTGCAAGAAAGCTGGTGATCCAATTGCATAATTTCTCGGGAAGCCCATAGGAAGGGAGCTTCGAAAGAAGCGCTTTGTGCCAAACCCGAATGAAGGCCTTCGCAATGTCCAAACTAACGGCCAATGCCTCCCCCTTGGACTCTACTGCCAACGCCCATCTATGAGTTAAGTAGACCAGAAGATCACCAGCTGATCGACCCCGACGAAAACCGTACTGGCGGTCACTAATCAGCTGGTGATCCTCAAGGTACCGCATGAGCTGGCAGTTTACAACGGATTCCATTATTTTGGAGAACAAGGGGGTGATGGCGATAGGCCTGTAGTTGGACGGATCTGAGCGGTCGTCTTTTTTAGGGATTGGGTGGACAAAAGCTGTCTTCCATGATTTCGGGACTACGCCTAGGGAGTAGGAGTACCGGAAAAGACGCGTTAGAACCGGTGCCAACTCCGGAGCACACGTCCTCAGCACAATTGGGGGGATTCCGTCAGGCCCACTCGACTTGTGGATGTCAAGGGAGAGGAGTGCTCTGCGAACCGAGCGCTGTGAGAATCGCACATCCGGCATGGAGCACTCACACCGCGGGATGGTCGGCGGTATGTTCCCCCCGTCATCAACAGTCGAGTTGGACGCAAAAAGGGAGCCTAAAATGTCGGCCTTCTCTTCTGCGTCGTGGGCCAGTGAGTCGTCCTCCCTGTGCAGAGATGGTAGTGATGGCTTACAGAAATTCCCTTGGACAGCCTTGGCGAGAGACCAGAATGCACGGGTTCCCGAAGGAAGGCGAACTAGTTTCTCGCCAATTCTGCCTATGTGCTCTGACTTTGCCTTGGCAATAACTCTTTTGAAGGACCTGGAGGCGAAGTTATAATTCTTTTTGAGTGTGCTGGTGTTTACATCCCGAGTCACCGAAGCCTCAGCTCAGGCTTGATAACACTCCTGCTTACTGCGTAATGCAGTCTTACAGGAGCGACCAAACCAAGGCTGAGATCTGCCTCCGATGGGTACCACAGATGATGGAATAAATAGTTCCATTCCCTGTAGCACTACATCAGAGACAGAGTCAGCAACAGCGCTGGGATCATCCGGCGAGAAGCAAACCCGCCCCCATGGGTAGGAAGCAAAGAAAGACCGCATTCCGTCCCAATCCGCCGACCTGTAATGCCAAACACGGCGGCAACCTGCAGAACGCAACCGCGAGGGTGCGTGAGTGGCACCACACTCCGGATCAGACAATGGTCCGAAGAGCCAAGAGGGGCATCGACGGAAACCTGATATCCGTCCGGATGAGAGGTCAGCAGAAGGTCCAACAGGGAAGGTGTATGATCCTCAACATCTGGAATCCGCGTAGGCGATGTAACCAGTTGTGTCAGACCATATGCCAAGGCAAAGTCATAAACAGATCTCCCCGCATGATCGGTTAAACGTGAACCGAGCCATTCGGCGTGGTGGGCGTTAAAATCGCCAAGGACCACGATCTCTGCGGATGGGACCTGTTGTAGCAAGGAATCTGTAGCCATTTGGACGTGGTCGATGAGTCGGTCTGTTTCGGCATTACCGCTATGGGACCTATAGAGGCACACGTAGACGCGCGGATGGTCGTCGCTGTCTACGCGTAGCCAAAGGATGGACAGGTCCGAACCTTCAAGACTGCCGAGGCGTCGAGAACATATGTCCTCTCTGACATACACGCAAACTCCAGCCCGAGGCACAAAGGAGTGCTCCAATTTGTACCCCGGGTAGGAGAGATACGAAGTATCAGCCGGAGAGGACACCTGCGTCTCGGTCAGAAAGAGCAAGGCCGGCTTCGCCGTCTCAAGATGGTAGTGGACGGCGTTTAGGTTCGAGTGAAGTCCCCTGATGTTGCAGAAATTCACGGATAGCGTGGCAGGGGTCGCCTTGGTCTTGTTGCTCAGTTTGCCCCGAGCAGTTATTGTGTTGAGCGGAATTTTGGCCCCCCCTCCCCCCAGAATACGCGGGGCAGCCTGAGCACCCACGCTCAGGAGTGGAATATCATGGTCGTGGATGCTCAGCGAGGGATTCTCCAGGGAGACTGGTACCCTCCTGGGGTAGTTTATGACGTAATTCCGCTACCATGTTGATGGGGGGGGCGGATTGGGCATCCGGTCACCTGCACTCACCAGACGAAACGCGGAAGCAGAGCTTCCACTTCACGCCGGTATTCTGTGAGGTCGTGGTACTAACCCGGCTCGAGCCGGCCCATACGTGCAACAGCAAAAGCTGCTGCAAGGCTCTACCACCGTTAAAATGTAGTGTACCTGATGATATAATTGGTGTAAATTGGTTTAAATTCTAACAATAATAATTCGGTGCAAAAACGATCATTCAAATTTCAATATCGTCCAAAGTGTTTGACAAAAACGCGTAAGAGACGCAAATTTCACGGCGCATGCGACCTTCTTCTCGCAACATCCTTCCTTAGATGCGGCTTGTAAGCGGGTTTGAGTAACGATTAGCAACTCGATATCATTGAATACTAAAGCTTAACTACTTTGCTTTTCGGTGATTTTTGCTTGGCTGGTCTTGCATGCAGTTTAAATAAAATGCCTCAGAAAGTGAAATGCTGTGCGGGCTGTTCGAAAAAAATCACTAATCGCGAATTATTGTATTATTACTTATGCAATGATACCTATGATATTGAATGCGTAAATTATGATACAAGTTATTTTTTCTAATGGATAAGGAAAAGAAAGACAATTGGAAATGTCCCACATGCAAAAGTAACCAAAAAAAGTTCGACAATACTAACACTCCTCTACAAGGCTGTCGTATGGATTCGCTTTCATCTACGTCTGATCAGGTACCCGTCGACTCTGAAGAATGTAATGTAACTCAACGCAAACCGCTAATTCCAGAGAAACAACCATTATCCCCTGGTTCTTGTCGTATCGTGGACGATGAATTTTTAATTTTTTTTTTAAAAACGTTACCCCCACACTGGGGGTTTTCTCCTGTGTCGTGGAGGCAGTTTACAAACATAAATTGCACAAGAACAAACATTCAGACCTGGAACAATTATTTATAGGCCATACAAATACTTGTTCCGTGCGGGATTCGAACCCGCGGCCCCCAGCGCAACAACTGATTGCTAAGCCACTGCGCCACGGAGCCGTCATGAATATTACTGAATATTATACGTCGAGAAATACAACAGTCTGTAACTGAGGCTATTGAATCAGCGGTCAAGATGTTCTTTTCTAAAGAGTTCGATGAAATTAAGAGTGAATTGGCTACTTTACAAGAAATCCGTAAAAGTATGGAATTTCTTAGCTCTCAATATGACCGTGTGAATTCTGATATAAAATACTTACAGGATCGACTAACCTTGGTAACTATAGAAAAATTAATGCTATCCAGTCAAGTGTTAGATATGTCAGATAGACTTAACCTTATGGAACAACATTCTCCTGAAACGAACATAGAGATCAATGGCGTTAAGGAAAATAAGTCCGATAATTTATTGTCCTTAGCGAAACAACTTTGTTCTACTATCTCCGTCCCTTTTATGGATGCTGAAGTTCTATCAGGAGCTAGAGCTAGTAAAATGAATGATAAAAATGATCGTCCCCGTTCTATCATAATTAAGTTGCAGTCCGTAAAGAAACGTGACGAAATATTTGCGACGGTTTCCAGTTTCAATAAGAAAAACACGTTGGATAAACTTAATTATTCTCATTTGGGATATGCTGGCAATAAATCGCCTGTATACGTTTCTGAACATTTATCCTCTCATAACAAAAAACTACATGCTAGCACCAGAAACATTGCACGTGAAAAGGGTTATAAATATGTTTGGATCCGTAATGGTCGTATTTTTGTGCGAAAAGAGGATCATACCCCTGCGAAACAAATAAAATGTTATGACTCTCTGAATAACTTGTAATTACAAAATATGATATGCCATATTACTAAGACCGTAACTACCTAAATAAAATTCAATATATACTATCAAAATTTCGGAGGTCTCAAAACTAAAACAGATGATGTCTTCACTGGTTGCCAATTATGATATAATAGTGGGAACTGAGACATGGCTTGACGACACAATATTGGACGGTTAATTATTCGGCGCAAACTTTAATGTTTATAGACGCGATCGTAAATCTACCCATCGGCCTGGCAAGCGAGCCGGAGGTATCCTGGCAGTAGTATCGAAGAAACTGTGCTCTAAAAGAGTTAACCACTTTGAGAGCTGTTATGAAGACTTGTGGGTTTCGGTGAGAGAGAATATTAACAGTAAACTCGTGGACGGCTTGTTTTGTGTAGTATACTTACCACCTCCGGTAACTAATAGTTCATTGGAAGGTTTTCTTGATAAAAGCAATATTGTAATGCAATCATGTAGTAACGACATAAAAATATTGGACGATTTTAATTTTAATTTTATAGACTGGATTACCGATGTTACCAATTCTGTAAGCAAGTTAACCCCTAGCAATAATTACTGTAATTTGGGTTATCAGTTCATTGATTTTTTGTCTTTAATTAATTTATCACAATTTAATGCTGCAAAAAACACTAATAACAGAACCCTTGACCTTGTTTTAAGTAAGCTTATGGATATAAATGTTGCTGAATGTCCATGTCCAATAAGTAAAATTGATCGTCATCATCCTGCTTTAGAGGTATATGTGAATATGTCAGTACCGCATTTGTTAAATAGTAAATCTTTTGCTACTCACAACTTTAAGAAGGCGGATTATACAATAGTAATTTATAGGTTAAGTAAAGCTGATTGGGGTTTCGAATTTAATGATTGTCAAGAGGTTAATGTAATGATTGTTATTGATGAAACTGTATCCAAAACGAAGCCACATAATTTAAAGTTCCCTCTTTGGTTCACGCGAAACTTAATTAAACTGATAAAAGAAAAAGAAAAGGTCCCATTAAGGCACAAAATTTATAAAAATCCAAGAGACACACTAGAACTTAAGCTCTTAAACTACCAGGTTAAGTCGTTGGCTTCTAAAAACTATTTAGATTATACAAAAGGTGATACCAAAAAATCCATTCAGTCAAATCCTAAAAAGTTTTGGTCGTTCGTCCAACATCGTAAATCCTGCGATTCTGGTTTTCCAAAAGAAATGTACCTAGACGATTTATCCGCTAATAGTGGCGAGGGGATATGTAATCTTTTTGCTCAAAATTTTTCATCTGTGTTCTCCTAACCCCAGTGTACTTCAGCTCATATATTGTCCGATGTATATCCACAAAGCTCTCTACATGATATAGAAATAACAGAACGTCAAATCCTAAGTATACTCAAGTCACTAGATATTTACAAAGGAGCGGGCCCTGACAACCTTCCTCCTTTCCTTTTTTATAAAAATGACATCAAATTATCTAACTCTTCCTCTTAAACAAATTTTCAGTAAATCTTTATTAACTGGTTCTTTTCCAGCTAACTGGAAACTTTCCAATGTTATATCCATTTTCATGAAAGGAGATAAAGATAATGTTAAAAATTATAGACCGGAATCGCTTATAGGTTATTTCCAAAGATATTTGAACGCTTAATTTATCCAATTTTAACAAATCATTTAAAAAATATTATTGCGGACGCACAGCACGGGTTTTGCAAAGATTATCATATTCCTAGACCCCCGTTACCAATTTATTAAATATTCCCTACAGTAGAACTAATCTTGGTAAGTTTTCACCGTTAAATAGATGTATGCGAACTTATAACAGCTTAAACAATCATGACATCGACATCTTTAGCGACCCCGAACGTGTATTTAAAAGAAAATGTAAAGACTTACTATTACCTACCTTGCCCGGTTAATGATTCTAAACTATTATTTATTGAAATTTTTTTACTGTATGTGGTGTTTTTGCTCAATTAGTTTGATTTGTGTTTGTTTAGAGTTTATATGTATGTTGTTTAGTTTTGTTTTTCATATAATGATGTATACACCTGTCTAAAAAATCCTTCCTTTGTCTAAAAAAATTGTATTTCGTTCGTAACAATGCATATTGATATTGTCGATGGTGTATCAATCTAAATAAAGAAATAAATAAATTACCCAAACTTATTGAAAAACGCTAATAAAAAAAAGTTTGCAATTTAACTTATAAAACATAGAGCAATACAGGTTACCGGCGGCCGGCTAGTCGATGATTGCCCGTGTTAAAATATACAAATTTTCTTGACAATTTGTATATTTTAAATATTCCTAATAGTGTTATCTAACTAGTTTACTGATTGTTGTGGCGTAATTATCTAACGAAGTTATTAAACGTAGATTAATTATTTTGTTAGTAATACGCATATACATAAATAATAATCTTATAAGTACCACAAGGATTTAGGTCAATTTATTAAGCCCTACATACTATATTTGTTTCTTCATCATTATCATCATTACAGCCCTTCACAAGTCCACTGCTGAACATAGGCCTCCCCCAAAGAATGCCACAAAGCACGGTCCTGAGCCACCTGCATCCATCGACTTCCTGCATGTCTTACCAGGTCGTCACTCCATCTCGTGGGGGGACGCCCTACACTTCGCCTACCGGTACGAGGCTGCCACTCGAGAACCTTTCTTCCCCATCGGTTGTCGGTTCTTCGAGCTATATGGCCGGCCCACTGCCACTTCAGCTTACTAATCCGTTGGGCTATGTCGGTCACTCTGGTTCTACTGCGGATATCCTCATTCCTAAGTTTATCACGCAGAGAAACTCCGAGCATAGCCCTCTCCATAGCTCGCTGAGCGACCTTGAGCTTCCTCATACGGCCAGCAGTGAAGGACCACGTCTCAGTTCCGTAAGTCATCACTGGCAACACGCACTGGTTGTACAATTTCGTTTTAAGGTTTTGAGGTATGTCTGACGAGAAGATGTGTCGTAGCTTCCCGAACGCTGCCCAGCCGAGTTGAATCCGTCGATTGACCTCTCGGTCGAAGTTGGACTTACCTAGTCGGACTATTTGTCCCAGGTAAACATACTCGTCAACAACTTCGAGCTTAGTGCTCCCAACAACTACCGGCATAGGTGTGACATGGACATTAAACATGATCTTTGTTTTGTCCATGTTCATCTTAAGACCTATCCGTTGGGAAACACTATTGAGGTCATTGAGCATAGTGCTTAGGTCCTCCAGCGATTCTGCCATAAGGACTATATCGTCGGCAAATCGAAGGTGAGTGATGTACTCGCCATTGATGTTAATACCGTATCCTTTCCAGTCCAGAAGCTTGAAAACGTCTTCCAATGCAGCGGTGAAGAGTTTCGGGGATATGACGTCACCCTGTCTTACACCTCTCTGCAATTGGATAGGTTTCGTATTCTGGTTCTGTACTCGGATAGCCATCGTAGCCCTACTGTACAAGCACTTCAACACTTCGATATACCGACAGTCAACTTGGCACCGCTGAAGGGACTGCAGCACCGCCCAAATTTCGACGGAATCAAAGGCTTTCTCATAGTCCACATACGCCAGACATAGTGGCAAATTGTACTCTTCGGACTTCTGTACAACTTGCCGAAGGGTATGTATGTGGTCTATGGTGCTAAAGCCCTTTCGGAAACCGGCTTGTTCGGGAGGCTGGAAGTCGTCAAGTCTGCGCGCGAGACGATTCGTAATGACTCTCGAAAACAGCACGTAGACGCGGCTCAGAAGGGAAATCGGTCTGTAGTTCTTCAAGAGAGCGTTGTCACCTTTCTTGAAGAACAAGACCACCGCACTTCTGCTCCACGCCTCCGGTGTAATGCCACCATGGAGGACAGAATTAAAGAGCTTCTGAAGGACTTCAAGTACCGGTCTTCCACCCGCTTTCAGAAGCTCCGCTGTAATTCCATCCTCGCCTGGGGCCTTACCGTTTTTAAGGTGCTGGAGAGCCATCCTAATCTCGCTCAGACTGACATCCGGGATATCTTCGGAATAGTGTCGGATGAGACTCGCTCTTGGATCGTTACTCACACTTGCGTGTGGCTCCAACGATGATGTGTACAGCTGCCCATAGAACCTCTCAATCTCACTCAAAATCTCAGGTGTCCCGGAAACGATGCTGCCATACTCTGTCTTCAGCTTTGACAGTTGGCTCTTTCTGGCAGACAGATCTCTGGCAAAGACTTTGGAGCCTTGGTTCCGCTCGATCGCTTCTTCAATACGAGCTGTATTGAAGTTGCGTAAGTCCCGCCGCATGCATTTGGAGATCTGTCTGTTCAGATGCCTGTATGCTGTCAAGTCTGATGAAGAATGTAGCTTCATCACCCGTCTAACAGCGTCTAATTTGTTTCTTAACTTGATTATTTTACAAAATTGCTTTCGATACTGAATTTCGGCGGCCAGTCTTAGCGGGGACTAGCCATCTACTTAGGACAGAATTGCAGGTATCGTGTGTATGCACAGGTACAGGTGCATTCTCTATTCCCTGACCCTCAAAGGCTGATACAAGTCTAACCTAAACATAGACTCAATAAGTTTCAGACCAACATAGGACGAGATAAAACTAAAACCTTTAAGCAACATCAAATCCTGTCAGTGGAATAGTTCAGTAATAAGCATTACTTTATACGGTTGACATTGCCTGGGATGATAATTTTGGTTGAGAAATAAAATCAATTTTTGCCTTAGAAAAAAAGAACTCTTCTAGGAACGTAAACAATTACGGATGTGTTCAAAAATAATATATTTTATCCAGCGTTTTGATAAACAAAATTATATTTATTTATTTATTTATTTAAAACTTCATATACACATGTGGTATATAGGCGGACTTAATGCCTAAGGCATTCTCTACCAGTCTACCTTGGGATGATGCAGGGATATAATGAAGTAGGAGTAATAAAAAGGTAATATGTTAATACTAAACTAAAATATCAAAAAAAATTGTAGCACATCGAAATATATATATATATATATATATATTTACTTATAAA